ATCAATAATAACCTTAAATGTAAATGCATAAAATGTTGCAATCAAAAGACATAGGATACCTGAATGGATAAGAAAACATGACTCAAAAATATGCTGTCTACAAGAGACCCGCCTCAGGACAAAAGATTCCCACGGGATGGAAGAAAGTACTCCATGCAAATGGAAAAAAAAGGCTAGGTGGCAAAACTTATATCTGAAAAATAGAGTTCAGAACAAAGGCCATAATAAAAGACAAAGTCACTGCAAATGTAGTCTCTTATTACAGCCTTGTAGATCAAATAAGATATAACTCTCGTGAACATATATGCATCCAATATAGGAGCACCTAAATACTATCTCTCTCACACACACACACACACACACACACACACACACACACAAACTCTTGGTAGACTTTAAGGTCAAGATTGACAGCAATACAGTCAAAGTAGGATTTTAACATTCCACTGACACCAACAGATAGATCTTCCACACACAAAAAAAATCAACAAGGAAACAGTGACCTTAAATGACACCCTAGATCAGATGGATTTAATTGATATTTACAGAACATTCCTTCCCAAGACAGCAGGAAACACATTTTTCTCAAGTGCACATGGATCATTCTCAAAGACAAACCAAATGTCAGGACGCAAATAAATCTTAAATTCAAGAAAATTGAAATCATATCAAACGTTTTTGGATCACAGTGACATAGAACTGGAAATCAACATCAATAAAAAACTCAAAAACATGCAAATACACAGAGGCTAAAAAGCAGGCTACTAAATAATGAATGGGTTATCAATGAGATCAAGGAAGAAATCAAGAAGTACCTGGCACCAAATGAAAACATACAACAACCAAAAAGCTGTCAGTCACAGTGAAAGCAGTCCTAAGAGGGAAGTTCATAGCATTACAGGCCTACCTCAAAAAGACAGAAAAATCTCAAGCACTCTCATCTTACACCTGAAAGAACTAGAAAAGCAACAAGAAAAACTCAGAATAAGGAGGGAGAAATAATCAAGATCAGAGTGGAAATAAATGACCTAGACAGTAAAAAGTACAATTCAAAATACCAGTGAATCCAGGAGCTGGTTCTTTGAAAAAGATAAACCAAGTGGATGAACCATTAACCAGACTCATCAAGAAAAAGAAGATTCAAAGAAATAAAACCAGAAATGATAGTGGAGAAGTAACAACTGGTAACACAGAAACACAAAGGAATGTAAGGAAATACTATGACAACTATATGCCAAGAAATTGGACAACCTGGACAAAGTGGACAAATTCCTGGAAACATACAATCTTCCAAAACTGAATCAGGAAGAATCAGAAAATCTGAATAGACTAATAACAACTAATGAAATTGAAGAAGTAATCAAAAAAATTCCAGCAAACAAAAGTCCTGGACCAGATGGCTTCACAGATTAATTTTACCAATCATTCAAAGAAGAATTAACACCTATCCTCCTCAAACTCTGAAAAAATTCAAGAGGAGGGAAGACTTCCAAGCTCTTTTTATTGTGCAAGGCTAGTATTGTCCTAATTCCAAAACCAGGTAAAAACCTAACGAGGAAAGAAAATTATAGGCCAATATCCCTGATTAACAGAGATGCTAAAATCCTCAAATATTAGCAAATTGGATCCAGCAATACATGAAAAAGATCATACACAATGACCAAGTGGGATTCATCCCAGGGATGCAAGGATGACACAGTAGTCACAAATCAGGTAATGTGATACATCATCTACACAAAATGAAAGATAAAAATCACATGATCATATCAATAGATGCAGAAAAAGCATCTGATAAAATCCAGCAATGATTTAAATGATAGATTAGGGTTAGGTTAAGGATTAGTGGGATCATACCTCAACGTAATAAAGGAAATATACATAAAACCTGCAGCGAACATCTTACTCAATGGGCAAAACCTAAACTGTTTCCATTAAGATTAGGAACAAGACAGGGGTCGACCACTTTCACCTCTCTTATTCAGCATAGTACTGGAAGTCCTAGCCACAGCAATCAGACAAGAAGAAATAAAAGCATCCAGATTGAAGAGGAGGAAGTAAAACTGTCATCATTTGCCAACAACTTGATATTGTACATAGAAAACCCTATAATCTCCAGCAAAAAGCTACTAGACCTAATAAATGAATTTGGCAAGGTAGCAGAATACAAAATAAATACTCAGAAATTGATGGCATTTTTGTACACCAATATTGAACTATCAGAAAGAAATTAAGAAAACAGCCCCTTTTACTATTGCAACATAACCTAGGAATAAATTGAACCAATGATGTAAAAGATCTGTACTTGGAAGCTATAGGACACTGAAAAAAATATTGATGAAGATACAAGTAAGTGAATATATAAAATATATGTTCATGGATTGGAAAAATTAACCTCATTAAAATGTCCATACTACCCAAAGCGATCTATAGAGTCAGTGCAATTCCTATTAAAATACCAATGGCATATTTCACAAATCTAGAACAAATATTCCAAAAACTTATATGGAACCAAAAAAGACCCTGAATAGCCTTGGCAATCTTGAGAAAGAAGAACAAAGTTGGAGGGATCATAGTACCTGATACCAAACTATATTATAAGGCCATTGTAATCAAAACAAACTAGTAGTGGCATAAGAATGGATACATAGATCAATGGAACAGAGCAGAGATCCCAGAAATGAACCGATGCCTTTATGATCAATTAATTTTTTACAAAAGGGACAAGAGTGTAAAATGGAGTAAAGACAGTCTCTTGAATAAATGTTGGGAGAACTGCACTGGTACATGCCAAAAAAATGAAACTAGACCACCAACTTACACCATACACCAGAATAAACTCAAAATGGATGAAAGACAAATATAAGCCATGATACCATAAAAATCCTAGAGAAAAACAGAAGCAGTATAATTTCAGATATCTCGCAGAGCAATATTTTTTCTGATCTATCTCCTAAGGCAAGGGAAAGAAAGGAAAAAATAAACAAATGGGACTACACATCAAATTAAAAAGCTTCTGCACAGCTAAAGAAACCATCATCAAAATGAAAAGGGAACCGACTGTATGGGAGAACATATTTGCCAATGATATACTGGACAAGGATTTAATCTCCAAAATATATAAAGAACTTATATGACTCAACACCAGGAACACAAATAATCCAATTGAAAAAATGGGCAAGGGACCTGAATAGACATTTCTCCAAGGGTGACATGCAGATGGCTGATAGACAAATGAAAGGATGCTCAGCATCACTAGCCATCAGAGAGATGCAAATTAAAACTACAATGAGATATCACCTCACACCTATCAGAATGGCTATCATTAATAAGTAAACAAACAATAAGTGCTGGCAAAGTTGTGGACAAAAGGGAACCCTAGTTTACTGTTGGTGGGAATGCAGACTCGTACAACCACTATAGACAACAGTATGGAATTTCCTCAAAAAATGAAAAATGCTACTACCTTTTGTCTCTGTGATTACACTTCTGGGAATACATCCTAAGAATCCCAAAACACTAATTTAAATGAATATATGCACTCCTATGTTAATAGCAGTATTATTTACAATGGGCAGTATTTGGAAACAGCCTAAGTACCCATCAGTAGTTGAGTGGATAAAAAGGCTGTGGTACATTTACACAGTGGAGTACTATGTAGCATTATAAAAAGGAATTCTTACCTTTTGCAACAGCATGGATGGAACTGGAAACTATTATGCTAAGTGAAATAAGCGAGTTAGCGGAAGACAAATACCATATGATCTCACTTATAAGTAAAATCTAATGAACAAAACTAACAAGCAAATTAGAATCAGAGGTATAGAAACATGTAACAGATTGACAGCTGTAAGATGGGAGGGGGAAGATGTGAACTGGTTGAAAGAAGGTGGAGGGAGTAGTCAAAGAACATAGAGGAAGGACTGTGGTCATGGACAACAGTGTGGGGATTGCTTTTGGGAGTCGGGGGTGGGCTGTGTGGTGGGGATCAGGGGGGAAAAACTGCGACATCTGTAATAGCATATACAATAAAATGTTTAAGAAAATAAAATAAAAACATAAACCAAAGTATTTACCGAAAACCAAATTAAAAACCCCATAAAAATGTAACTTTCCCTGGATTTGAGGTCCTCTTTCAAAGAAAGGAAATCTTTCCCTATCACTTTATACAGATTTGCTTCATTTTTAATGATTATATGGAGGTCCACTGTGTAGCTTTCCCATCATATTTAATCTGTGCCTTATGGTTATGTACATTTTTTCCTTTTTATAAATATTGTTGCCTTGGGTACCTGAATAGATTTGTCTTTGTATTTTCTTATGACAAATTCTTTGAAGTGGAAATGCTGGATTGTTTATTGTATCCTCAGTGTCTGGTGCATAAGAGGCACTCATATTTGTTGAATCAATGCTCATTAGAGAGCATTTGCTTTTTAAAAGTACTTGATAAATTACTTTTATTGATTGCCAAATTATCCTATAGATAAATGCCATTTACATTCCTAACAGTGATTGAGAACATTTTTTTATAGTTAAAATTGTAAAAGTCAATACAGTACATGTGTTCATTAATATAATTATAAATATTTTCCTTTATGATTTTTAATTTTGTGTCATACTTAGAAAAGTTCACTTACCCAACTCTAAAACAAGTCATCAATGATGATTTTTTTCCCTAATATTTAAATCTCTAATCTCTCTGGAATTTATTTTCATATAAGGTTTTATGCTTATTTATATATGAATTTGTTATTTTTACAATAATATCCTTACTTTCTAAAGAGAAAAGTTTTCCTATTGGTGCCTCCACTTAAAGTTTAGAAACTTCGTTAAAATTTGGAGATTTGGAAAATTTGTACTAGCCTAGTTTTTAATTCACTTGGCCACCTAAGACAATGATTATTTATTTTTAGTAAGAATACTTGAAGACAGAGAGTTATGTGAAAAAGAAATGAATAAATTAATTACTTTTTCTTGGTTATGGTTTTTTCTTTGTTAATCAGGTGAGATCATGGATAACCTCACCCTCGAAGCTGGAGATGATGCTGGAAAAGTGAAGTGGGTGGACATCAATGATAAACTCAAGCTCTATGCTAGTCACTCTCAGTTCATCAAACTAGTTGCAGAGAAGAGAGATGCACACTGGAGCGAGGACTCTGAAACTGACTGCCGTGGATTATAGCTCACAACCTCCATGTAAACCAGAATTCAGCAAAGGAGCATGTACTGAAAAGACGGCACTGTCACAGAACTGATACTAGCAAGAGGGCAGGGTTGATGACTTGGAAATAATTTTGTTCACTTTTAAAATGATTTTCATTTAGGTTTTACATCAGAATAAAATTAGATATGGTGAAATCCAATATGGTATTTTTGGCTCTCGAGTCAAAAGAAATATAATCATATTTTATATGTATTCTATTTAAGCATGCCTTTAAACCAAATTTAAACAACTTTGATGCTCTTTGCTTTTTGGCGGGAGGATTTAAGTTTTGTTTATTGAAAATCATTAAAACATATGTAGTCAGGAGATGCTATGTTACACATAGGTGGTATCTGTTCTGGTAGTTCTGTATTTGTTAAGTACTAGTTCTCAGCATGAAAGTTGTTGTGATGCTATGATAGCAAGGGGGCATGTTAAGTGTGCTGACTTATTTTTCAGAACCAAATTAACCCATTAGCCTCTATCAAAAGTTTGAAATTTTTTTCAGAGACTCTAACTCTGTTTTTTGAACCATTGCTCTAATATAAAAAAAATGGAGCACAGCCTTAAGGACAACAAAAAAATAAACTACAATGGACAGACATTATGCCATTGGCACTCCAGGCCTTCCCTCACACATGAAGAAGGGGCTATGCAGGTAGAACTTTAGGTGGCCCAGGTCCCAGGGGTTCCCCGGCACTGAATAATGTGTACTTTCTGTCTGTATGCATGTTCTCACTCCACCTTAAATGCTGCTATCCTGCACTGCTTTACAGGTAAAGTAGGACTTGATGTTCTCTTGAAGGTAAGTTTCTGGTCAGCTATAACTTCTGCTTTCAGTCCGGTCTTTGTCAGTTCTTTTTTTGTTGTTGTTTCCCTTGCTTTTCTGTGGCCTGAGGATGTTTCTGCCATATCAAGCTCCATTAGGAGGAGCACCAACATTGTGTAATCTGAGTTATCTTTTAATGATTTGCTTCACATTTTGCTTTATATGATCTTGTTGAAGCTGATTTCAAAAATGGGAACTTTATATATTCTTGTCTTTAGAAGCTTCAGTTTTATGAGGAAATTTCAGCCCTCTTAGTCAATAAAGATCAATGAATAAGAGTTTATGTTCTCATTTTCAAAAATTCTAAGGTAAAAATATATCCAAGAAATTAGTAATCTACATTAATATATTTATCTTACTCTATTGATTATAACTGTATATGTTATAAATGAATTAAAATAGATGTTTAAAAAGGAATTAGAATCAGAGACAGATGGAGGTCTTGGGTTAGTTGCTTTTGTTAGGGCATATTAGGGATTGAAATAGTCTTTTGAGGGACTCACTGTTAATTTAATTTCCAGAGAAAAAGAATGCTCTTGGGAGCAGGGGGGAGGAAGGAAAATAAAAGTGCTTTGTCTCAGTGAATATGCATCTCATATCCTGGCTAAGATATCTATTGGGAAAATGCCATGATTATCAACTGCTAAACTAAAGTGGGGTCTGTCTTAGTTCCATCTTCATTCCAGATGGACAACAGATGAAGCATTTGAAGAAAAGGAGGTTTAGAGAATACAGACATGGTTGTTTTTTCTTTAGACATTTGAGAATAGTATTAAGCTTACTTGTAGCTAGAGGACAGAACTAGGGCTAAGGTAAAACAAAAGGTTTAGGGTTTTTTTTCTCCCCTGATTTGGTGGTAAAACTGAACTGACAGAGCTTTTTTTTTTTTTTTTGCCCTTATTGTGGCTGTCAAGTTTTGCTGAGAAACATTAGGATATTTGCCTTGACCTCCTCTGAAGAGTTACAAGGTTTATGTATGGCATTTTTTCTAAAATCCATAAATTCCTGGTCCTTGGGTATGTAAGTAGGGACATGCACATTACAAGAGGGGTAGAATGACCTCTCAGCATAAAAGTCTAATTCTACTTTCACTGTTTTGCAGGAAGAAATTGCTTCTTTCTGGCACCAAATAGAATACTTTAAAATTGAAATGCCTTACAGAAGCTCTTGAGAAAGTTTGAGCAATGTCCTTAAGACTGACATTTACTTTTGTTTAATAGTTTTTATATATTTAAACTGATATTAGTAAAGATATTAGGTTATATTTAAATTTTATTTAAAGAATGACTAAAGCACATGATCTGTAGGTAATAAATTCTTTGTTGCACTTTGGAGTTTTTGCTGCAACCTTTAAAAAGTATGCAAAAGGATAAAACTACTGCTATAAATTTATTGGTAAAATAGAAGTAGATAATCTTCTGATAACTGTGAGTATCCAGCACATCTGTAATAGAGAAAAAACATTAAAATTTTAGTTTAAGACATTTCACTAGATGATATCGCTTACGTATTTGCTTTTCTTAGATATAAAGAATATTTTTGTTTCTTAGAGATACTTAGTAAAATAAATACTAATAATAGATACCATTTGTTGATTCTACATTATATCACTTAATCCTCACAACAATCCTTTGAAGTTAGGTAGTAGTATTCCCATTTCAAGGGTGAAAATGGTATTTAAAAAGGGTGCCCCAACGTTTATTCAGTAAGGGGCAGAACTAGGATTTGAATCCTGGTCTGCCTGGTTTCAAAACTTATTCTCTGTCTATTGCATTCCCTATTAAGGGTATGAAGTTTTCATGATTTGTTACTTTAGGTATGCAGTTTGGAAGACTAACCCATAGTAATACATTTATGGTTTGTGGCTTGAAATTAAAGGCCATATCTGATTTGGATAGTACTGTTGACATGGTTTGCATAATTTGGCCCAAAAACAATTTAACCTAAAGATAGATACATAATCAGTGTTTGTCTTGCCAGTAGGTACTCTTGAGATTTGAAAGAGTTTCAAACTCAAATAGAAGCATATGCTAAACTTGCATAAGAGCATAACTATCTAAAAATCTAAATATTCAGTAGCTAAAGAGGGCACTTGAAAATTCTAACCACTTTAAGAGGCTAAATGTTACTCTGTCTTACAGTGTAAGGACTTTTGTTACTGGTATTTTCTAAAATATTTATGAAATTTTAACAAATAATCTGATTTTAAAATACATCCTTTGAAGAAAGCATTTGTATTAATTTGGTCTTGTTCAAACCTGTGCGTATAGTATTATTAATTTATCAACATGTACACAATCTGAAACTATTAAACAAGATAAAAATGTTTAAAACGTATACTAATTTTATAATAAATGTATGCTTGAAAGGAGGTTTTACTGACCTTGTATAACTTCTGATATAGTGCTGAGAGATTTATTTCTTCTGAAATAAATGATACAGATTATAGTTATTATGTGAAGGCATTTTTTTGCCATAATTTCTTCTCCACCCATGTCTCCCATATTAGTGCTGATGGGTTATTATTGGTACAATCATGTATGTTAGGAGTTAGGGAATAATGTGGTTCTTTTATATCTAAATGCTGATAAATTGAATCCTCAACTGTCTTTTCTTCAACATAGAGCTTAATTCCTCCCACTATGGCCCCTGACAGTCCGATGAGAACATTTGAAGTGGTAGGAAACACTAAATAAGAACACGAGGGCAATGAAACTTGTCAGAAGGAGAACTTGGGTGAAATCTAATTCCTTTCTCAAGATTGGCATTCAGAGTATTTTATTTGTCGGCTTCTCTCTAAGTAGATTAAAGTAAATAACATACTGTATATAATTTTAATTGACAATCCAGATATTTAAAAAGGAATATATCTTTTATATATTTTAAATGAAAGCAAACTTGGGTGAGAATCAAAATGGAAGTCTCAAGGTTTGTAGCTTTCCATCAAGTGCGCTGATGTTTTGTGTTAAGGAGATATGTTGCCTTGAGATGAGGCCATTCCTGCCAAGGAAGGCTTTGCTTTTTGCTGACTATGAATTGTCCATAAGACAACAGTAAGTTTGAGGTAATATTTACTGTTTGAAATTCTTAACCTAATGTTGCATATATTTCTGTAAAATGAAATTTTGTTAAATACCATGGGCATTATGAAAATACCTTTTTTGACCTGCAGAAATTCTGCTTTAAAGATCTTGGAGAAAATTGAGCTTATAATTCATAAGCTCTAATTTGGTTAGATCAGTTGGTTCAATTCTGCCATATATTTTTATGGTTCCCAAGAATTATGCTTACCTTTCCTGAGAGTAAATTTCACTTTCATCAATATAATCATAGAAATTAAGTCTTACCCCAAAGAAGCCCTAAAAAAAAAAAAACAACCCAAAACATATTAATTAAGTTCATTAATAGATTTGTAGTTTATAATAGCTTAAAAATTAATGTGGACTTACCAGGAGTTGGTTCAAAATAGAAGTGATTAACTGAAAGAAGAAAAATCAAATCTGTGCTGTCAATGGATTTATTTTTTAACTTACTTTTAACTTAGTACACATATAAGTTAAAATATTTTCTATATGAAAATCTTTGTTTTTAATAAAAAGTTAATTCCATTTTACTGCTTAGTTTTCTATTTGCATGGTATAAGGTTTTTAAATGAATATGCAGTATTTGTATTTAAATTTTCTTCATTTTGTCAACTGTAGTTAAAAAATGTAGAAATTGGTAAAAAAGTCACCTGTAATACCAGAGACAGTTTAACATCTTGGTTAATGTAAGGCTAGTTAGTGAATTGCTCATTTCACTTAATACCATTGGTGTTAATAAATGGTAATAAAAAAACAACAAAGAAAAAAAAATTCCCTAATTCACATATGTATTTTCCTATAACTGCCATGTGTCTGTATTCACTGTATTCACTAAAAGACATAAAATTGATATGAATGGTTAAGAAACTTACTGCGTACACTTCCATACAAGTACTTTCTTAAATTATGCAACTTCCCTGTGCGAATGATACTTGAACCAACATTTTAGGACACCTATGAATACTTTGAGAGTTTGCTTACCCAACCACTTTCACTGGAAAAGCATTCCTTCGTAGCTTCCACGTGGTCCTTTTTTAAACGATTGTCAGGTTACTCAAGAAATTGACCTTTCTACCAAGAAGGCAAATAGCTATTTGTAGGGCTGCCAGATTAAACACTGTCCTGACTTTTTCTTGATCTGAGAAAAGGTTTGTTCTCTTAGGATGCCTTGTCCTGTTCCCTGACTTAACTAGGATCACGGAGCGGGGCGGGGGTGGGGGTGGGGGGGGGAACCTTGAGACTATGAAGATACAGTGATTTCTGTAAATTGTTCTGTTAGGATTCTTTCCAGCATGGGCTGTGGCCAGCAGCGCTTTAAAAAAGTTCAGAAAAAATGAAATACAAATAGGTATCAAGTGTTCAGGTCTAGGTAGTTTGAATGAGTCATGTCTGGGAAGTCAGAATTTTCACTGGAAGGGAACTTGGTGCTAAATACGTATATTTACCCAAGGTCACACAGATAATTTAATTGTAATGACAAGATTAGAATTCGGGCTTTTCAACCGCAGGCCAGTGCTGTTTTAGCCTCATTTTGATGTAAAGATGAACTTGCTAATTTTGTAGTTACCAAAATCATTGAAGGTAGTGGTTTCCTAAAACATCTTTAGTTAGAAATACGGAGATTTCATTTTTCTTTTGGAGTTGGACTATAATGCTGATTAAATAGAATGGATTGTAGGAAGAGGAATTAGCCATTTGGACTCAGAAGACTTAGGTTCTTAGTTAGACTTGGACGCTACTTGTTTGATCTTAAAGTTTCTGGGACGCTTCAGTATTCAAGATGGTTGACTTGAAATAGTCTATTAAAGAATCTTGAAAATTTTATCTTAGGCACACAAATGATTTAAGTCTAACTTTTCTGACATTTTTACAAAATATTGTGTATCCCCAATTCTAAGATACCATAATTGTAAAATATACCATTTAGTTAATGATAGCATTTAAAGAAAAGGGAGATCCTAGATGAAATGTATGTCTGTGTTGTAAGATGTATCTTGATTTCAGAAAACTAAGTGTGAAAAGTATTTTTTAGACTGGGAAATAGAATTTTTTAATGTTACCTTTTGTAACTCCTTTGAAGTATTTCTCTTGTGTTTTTGTAAATTAAGATTCTGAATAACTTATTGTATCAATAAAAGTCCTCTTCAAAAAGTTGAATGATGTGCAATTCAGTAAAAAAACTATCTGTTGGGATTTAGGTTTGATAATCTTTAATGCATTGTATGTTTATGCTAATGCTTTGTTAGTGAAGAAAGAATCAAGTCTGTTTCATCTCTCCTAAAACAGTTTGTAACAAGTCTTTTGATTCTTCACTTTCACCTTCATCAATGATAGAGGAGGTTGTTTTGTTGATTTATTATAGTTTGGATGAATTAAATAAATAGATGTAGAACTGTTTGCAGGCATTGAGATTGTGTTTTTGTCTTTAAATTTAATAGCTGTGCTTTATTTTGTTTCCAAATGACTTGGAATAATAAAGACAGTAATTTTCATAATGAACTGGCTAATCTTAGGTAGGGTATGGAATGCAGTATTTTTATAAACGTTATAGATTGACAGTCTAGACGATATTTACCTGTATAAGATCATTAGGTGTCAGGACCTAAAATAAAGGAAATAATCAAATAATCAAGGTTAAATTCAGCATTTTATCTATTCTATATTATACATTTTATATTACCTTGATTAATAAAAACATGCTTTTTAGAGTTCTTAGCATTTCTAAAATTATGTCATTAAGATTCATGTTCATTAATAGAGTTAAATAAACCCCCATAGCCAACTCCC